GTTTCCCCGCCGCGCCGAGTGTAACCCGGGCCTCGTTAACAAGGTCTGAATGGGACTATGTGAAAAAAGCCTATGAAAAGGCGTGCCCCAAATAATTTCAAGTCAACACGCAGGCCCTCCCCCAGGGGGGGCTATATAGCAATTTTGAACTCACATGGGTGTAAAGAGTTTGAATTTATGAGCACTGGTGATTTGGCTCAGTGGTTCTATTTTTTTCACATCTACATTATGGGACAGGCCTATGTAAAACCATATTCAAAGCCATGAGCATGGACTTGAGGTACTCCTAATTCATGGTTTCTGCCCCCTGGGCCACCCTGCTTAAAAGTTACCTTTTGCCTTCCAATAGGATGGTTCACATTTGAAAGATTTCAGCAAAATGTTTGTGTGAAACCAGCACTAGAGCATTTTGAGTTTGCATGCTGAAAATTGGCCTGTGCCTCTGCCAATTTTTAAGATTTTTTGAAACCAGCATGCAGAAATTTTATCCAAAATCAACAAGATGTTATTCAAATGTGAACATTCCCAATTATAGGGGGTTTCACAATTGAACTTTGAGGTGATTTTTAAGGTGTTTCTGATCTTGATTTTTTTTTTGTGGTGTGTGTGCAGCAAGTTGAGAAACCACTAATTGGGAGAAACCCATATACATATGGGTTTAGGACCCAGTTTGGCGTGCAGGCCTGCACTCCAACTGCAGGCCAATCTACCCTGCAGCAGATTGGCGTGCAGGGGTCCACCCGAATCTGCGCTTGGCGTGCAGATTGGCGTGCGCCATGGGGGTTGGCGTGCACTTATCAACCCCCAAATGCCAATCACTTCAAAACATTGTCAAAAAGGCCAATAACATCAAACAACATCAAAATTCATCATGATGAGTCAAATCAAATGATATTGAAAACAATTTTAGCAAACAATAGTAGAAGCATTAGAAAACTTTGAAGAAAGTGAAAGGGCTGGTAAAATCTGCAAGTGAGACTGGCTGTACTCATTCAAATTTGAAGTATCATGCAATATAAAATCTGCATATTCCCTTTCACATTGAGCTTTTCCTCAGCTTGCTTTAAGCTTATGGTCCAAGAGAATCAAAAGCCTTCAGATAAATAAACTTTTTTTGAGGGTTTTTAGCTTATGGTCCAAGTGGATTACAAACTGTCATATAAAGTAAAACTTTTTTTTCAGTTTTGAAAATGAAGAAAGTTTTGCTGATCTATCAAGGGGCTTGGCTAATCAACTCCCCAAAATTGGAGAGTCAACTCCCAAACCCCGAAACCCCCAAAATTAGGGAGTCAATCCCCCAAAACCATTGACCGGTTTGGGGGTCGACTCCCTAAAAATTTAAATAAAAATAAATAAAAAACCCCGGTTGGTTTGGGAGTCGATCCTCCCAAACCGACCAGGGTTTGGGGGTCAATGAACCAAACCAAACCAACCCCCACCCCATGGAAGCGGCCGGGAGGAATTGTTGAGTTTTTCTTCCTCCCTGCTCTCAATCACGCTCCCCGCTCTCAAACAATTGCTGTGGAACAGTGATGCATGACACCCCCAACAAAACCACTTAGGGTTCAAGCCTCACTGTTATATAGGAACATCGTGTCCCTGTCCCGGTTTTTTTCTCAACCTTGACAAGATTCCCGGTTCACTCGCTCTTCACTGCTCTTCACTCCTTGCTCACTTCAAGATCAAGACTAACTATCAAGATCAACACCCGTCAGCAACGATGAAACTGATGCGATGCATGCATAGGTATCACATCGTATCGGGCCTTTATCGCATCACATCGCAAGAGCGATGCGGGGCCCCGCATCGCATCGCTTGCATCGGATTCTTCGATACAGTGTATCAGTATTGCATCGGCAAAGCGATGCGATGCGATGCACCATAATTTGGTGGCATTGCATCGCTTTCCGATACGATGCTGATGCAATGCATCGCTTTTTCGATGTGATACCAATACATGGCTATTTATCACATCACATCACATCGTTTCACCATTGCCGTCAGGAACTAATGTAAAGTTGAAGTCCATCACTTAACATGCTCAATTCACAACCTAACTTCGTTTCAATTCTCTCTCAAGACTGACTCTAGACTACATCAAAAACCTATTGCTCAACTCTCATCTCATCAATCGCATCACATCTGCTCAACGTGCTGTTGGTTGTCTCTCTTAATTTTCCTATCTCTCATCCGTGTTGTTTTTCTTTCTAATTCATTGTTTGATGTGAAAATCACTAACTTTCTCTTACTTCTTTTTTGTGTTGTTTCTTTCCTTATGTTTCTCTCTAGTTTGCTGCTCTTAAAACATCTCTTGCTTCTCCGCTTCTCTATTCAAGTCCTCTCTGCTCACCTATATCCATCTCAGTAGTGGTATGCCTTCTTCCTTATTTCTTTATGCTTAATTTCTCTAATGTTGTTTCCCTATTCTAACTTGTCTTTATTTCTCTCAGTCTGGTTCTGTTCTTAGCAATTTTATTCAAAATTTCTCAGGAATCACCTCTGAGAGCACATTCTTGACAGCCGATAGGAGAAACCCTCTCGGTGTCGAGAGTGTTCATACTCAACACCAAGAGGGGTTCTCCTCTTGGCCGTTGAGGTGTACACTCTCAACGCCGAGAGGGTTTCTCCTCCGTTGAGAGTGTACACCTCGACGGCCAAGAGGAGAAACCCTCTCGGCATCAAGAGTGTTCATACCCTCAACGGCCGAGAGGGTTTCTCCTCTCAGCCCTTGAGAGGGTATACTCTTGACGGCAAGGGGAAACCCTCTCGGGCGTGGAGAGTGTACATACCCTCAACAGCCAGGAGGTTTTCCCCTCTTGGCCGTCAAGAATGTGGTCTCAGCGGTGTGGTGGCGGGAGCGCGCCTTGACCAAAGCTTTGGCCGGTTTGTTTGGAGCATGCGGAATGCTCGCGGCGCTGATGCGGAAAGCACGCGGAGCTGACGCTACATAAGCAGGCTGAGGAAAGCGGCGGTGCATTAGTGGAAAGTCTAGCTTTCCGAGGCGCGGGAAAGTGGAGAAAGTAGACCGAATGCACAAGGTTCTGAAAAGCTTACTGCGGGGAATCCGGGCATCGGCGGGCGCCGGGGATCACGGCCGACTGTGGAATGGGGGTTCAGGGTATACTGCGGAGGGGCTACAAGGAGCGGGGAGCACCGAGGGGCGGAAGCGGGGTTCGGAGCGGACCAGAGGCGGAAGCGGCGGTGGGAGACCCGCTTACGAGCGGCCGGAGGAGTACCTGGACCGACAGGCGTCGGAGGGGTGACATGCGGAGTCCGAGGGGGTGACAGCGGAGGACAGCGTGGGAGGTAGTAAGAGACTGGAGTGTGGGAAACTGAGGAGGAGTGGACTTCGAGGCAGAAGAGGAGGGGGAGAGGGGGAAGAAGAATAACTCAGAACATATCAGAAAACAGAGAGACTTAGGAGTGAATCGTGTATTAGCCTAAAGAATTGTTAGAGATAGACTAGAGTTAGAGTACTACTGACA